GCTGTGACTTTAAATACACACATAGAAAACCCCACAACACACACACACACACACACACACACACACACACACACACACACACACACACACACACACACACATCAAAATTACAAGTTAGATCTCTAACATGTGTACACAGTTATTAGCAGCATCATGAAACTAAATGACTTTGACAGACTCTTTAAAAAAAAACACATTTTTAACCAGACAGGTTTTTAGCTAAGTTTTATTTTCAGTTTCTTTAACTGTCCTTCATTATACTTGTTTGTTTACTGATTTTAGTTATTTTGTCTCTGTAAAGCACTTTGTGATGTCTGTGAAAGGTGCTACAGAAATAAAGTGAACTTACTTAAATAAAAGTGCCTCTGCTGGTCTCTCACACAGAAGCGTGCACAAACATATTTCYGTTTAACTGTAGATTAATGGGAATGATTGGATATCTTTATAGGCTCCACTGTGCATCAGGCTGACAAAACAAAACAAAAAAACATACTAGATTTTCATTGCCCCCTGCTGGACATTAACCCAGGGAGTATTTATAAATTCTTGCTCCTCTGCAAGAAAAAGAAATACCACTTTAGGGAGGACTTCATAACTTTAAAACTCTGTTTTGAAGATGTCAGCTTGTTTATAATATCAATTTGCATCATTTGCAGGAAAAAGAAAGCAAATTGAGAAACAGATGCTTTGTATGCATAAAATCAAAGCGAGAAGAGAAAAAGTTTTCTCTGTGCTCTACACTAATTAATTCAGGTCATGTTTGTAAATGAGAAGTGGTTCTCAAACTGTTTTCCTGGACAAATAAAGGTTAAATYAAGAAAATTAAAATTCCATCTTCTGCAACGTTTTGTTAAGAGATGTTCTTGCTAGAGTGCAGTCATAAAACAAAGCCACATAAAAACAATGGGAGAAGTGAAGGAAGAGCAGAAACAAACTCCAGACTAAAACAAGACTTTAAGATTGATGAATTTCAGCTGAGCTGCAAAGACAAGATAATTAATTTAGAAGAAAAAAACAGTTCATGGCAGAGTCAGTGCACAGCCTGAGCAGAACTGTTAATGTGCTAATCTGCTTTATTACATGTCTGAAGTACAGGTTTATCATCTACAGGATAAAAAAACACTGATGTGTAAATATGATGCATGTGGGAGAAAGTGTGCAGAATCAAAACACACATAGCTAAATACAAAAATACTTCAAAACAATRTAATCACCAGGGAGACCATCTCGAGGATGTCCTGGGCATCGTGAGTCAGCAGGCACGGTAGTCATAGCAACATCGGAGTCGAAGGTGTGTGTGTGTGTGTGTGTGTGTGTGTGTGTGTGTGTGTGTGTGTGTGTGTGTGTGTGNGTGTGTGTGTGTGTGTGTGTGTGTGTGTGTGTGTGTGTGTGTGTGTGTGAGGGAGACCCACCACTGAGAGGCCAGCATGGTGAAGACGTCAGCCTGTGGGTTGGTAAAAACGCGCAGCAGCTCCGGGTCTGAGGAAAAGTGAGCCAGCAGACGCAGCTCCACTTGACAGAAGTCTGAAAACAATAAAAACATTTTAGTCCTTTCAGAGAACACGACCTTAASCTTTCACCACCACCATCAAATTCACACCCTCAGATGAAATTCGTCATCATCAGAGTTCACATTTCTCATTTAGCATTTCTGCTGGGAGACATTGACTGAGGTATAAAAATCATTAAATAGTGTTTTAAATTTTTTTTACTTCTATTACATATTTTACTGTAGAGTTRTTTTAAGATAGCAAGTATACACTTTAGCTCGTCAGTCTGGTCAGAATTAATTGGTGTTTCTCCAACCTGAGGCACTTAAAGAGCTATCTGCAACAAGTAAGATATTCACCGTTTATGAACCTTTCTACAAAACTCCACAATAAATTTTTAAATACAAGTTAGGTGAATTTTCTTCATTAGTTACTGACATGGGCAAGTGGGACCAGTAATATTATCCAGTCAATATAATGCCCCCAATAAAATGACATTATTTGCTGTAACACAATAAAAATTAGGTGGTTAAGTCCATGGTTGCAATTCTCTTGTTGTCTTTATGGCTCAGTCAATAGAGCTGATGCCTCTCAGCAAGAAGGTYGTCGGATCAAATCCCAGCTCCGAAACCTTTCTGGGTAGAGTCTGCATGTTCTCTCCGTGCATGTGTGGGTTTTCTCTTGGGTTGCACTTGGCTGTCCCACGGTCCAGACTGGTCCACAGAGGTGACCGAGCCTTTTCAGTTATGGCTCCTTAACTGTGGAACCAGCTGCCCCATCCACATCAGACAGGCCTCAACTCTTGGAGTTTTTAAATCTCTTCTTAAAACACACCTGTTTTCAAACTTTTAATGTAGTTTGAGAGTTGTTTCCCTATTTATTTGGTCTGTTTTTTATGGTTTTATCATTTCTGTTCTTTTAGCAATGCTTTGTTTTTAGTTTGCATTATGTGAAGCACTTTGGCCAACAGCAGTTGTTTTAAATGTGCTATATAAATAAAGTTGATTTGATTTGATTTGATTCTCTGGGTACTACGGTTTCCTCCCACAGACCAAAAACATGACTGTTAGGTTAATTCAGGCATGTCCAACTCTGGTCCTCAAGGGCCAGCCTCCTGCAAGTTTTAGATTTGTCCCTACTTTAACACAGCTGATTCAAATAGATGACTTACCTTTTCAGTTTGCCATCAAGGTCTGCAGAGGCCCATTAATTAAGCACCCATTAGGTTCAGCTGTGTTGAACCAGGGCAGCACCTAAAACATGCAGGACACTACACTACTACAACATTGCTACAGCTCTCATGTACGTTTTGTAGATGTGAACTGAAACTCAGTCAGAATTCTAAATTAAATATTTGTAACATTTAAACACAGCACCAAAAAGTCAAGCATTTACACAAAAAACAGTTTTTATTCACTTCTATGCTGCCASTCCACATAGACACATCTCTTCCTCTGCTGCTTCAGAATCAAATTAAACTCCAACTAATGCAAAAAGAAATGAGGGGATGTCACTCAGGATGAAGCAAACGACTGTAATAGGCTTTTGTGAAGATGCCGGGAGAGGAAGAATGATGACAAATGACTGCATGGGATTATGAGAACCTGAATTTCTGGTGCTAAAACAGTAAAAATAGCATTTATTATTGTTATCATCAATGAGCTAAATCCGATCGTTTGCTGCGTCACATGTCAGGATAGAGTTGAACGAGTTCATAAGAAATAGTGTACAGCAGGATAAAACAAAAAGAAGATGAACTAAAAGTAAACACACATGTTGGATGAAGCGGAGGAAAGAAAATCCGACAGAGGGATGAAATGAAAACTGAAGAAAAAGATACAACTGAGTCTTGGCTGTGCTGAGACAAGCAAGAAAGAGTTTCTAAAGATATCATCCCATGAATATTTGATAGCTCCATCACACTTCCTCCAAGCATGGCTGGCAGTCTCAGAAACATATTGCTGACCAGGTTGTGTGCGAGTCGGGGGAAGAAACAGATGAAGGAGGAAGGAAAAATTAGGATGGTTTGGATTTATAGAAAAAACTGCATGTGAGAAATTATATACTACACATGCAAGTACATCCCTCCATTATTTGCTGCTGGTTTGATGTTCCAACCAATGAGGTGTGTTGAACTGAGGAGCTATCATGTGACTTTTCTTGGTCATATTGTTCGGGGCGAGGACAACTCAACAGACAGTACTGTTTGGTAAAACTGAATGTGGTAACCATGACATGTTACAAACTCTGTTTGCTATTGATAACCATTATTTTGATTTGTTAGAAGTGCTTATCAGTACATTTTATATTATCAGGCAAACACATATTGCCATGGTACACACGTATGGAATGAACAATGTTTCTAATGGGCAAAAGCTACCCAACGAAAAACCAATATTTATATGAAACTCTATGCGGAAATCTAGCCATGATTCATTGTTTACATCAACAGCCTGTCCCTTCCAATATGGTGTTGGGCTCGTACCACTGTGGTCAATCTACTGAATGATGCGTGACGCCTCTAATCCATATACCTAATTGGTTCCAACGCTCTCTGAAGGGATCCAACTTACTGCTAGCAATGTGACTCAGACTCTTGCACCGTTTGTACAGGGACTGAAACTGAATGGTTCTTAGCAACAGATTCCCATATTCACAAAGAACCCACCACGGGGTATGTTTGGGAACACGACAGTCAAATGCCTTCTCCAAGTTAACATGCATCCACTCCAAGTCCATGTGGTTGTGCAAACTCCCATGCCCTCTCAAGGACCCCAGCAACCACAAGACCTGCAGGCTAATCTGTGATTTTAAAATAATGTGTGTCCTATGTCAACTCTACAAGACATACTTCTAATGAGACTGGCTGTGTATCGATCTAATGCAGAAATAAAGCAGTCATTGAAGGAATACATCCGCCGCCTTTTAAACCAGAATGTCCTATGGGTTATAGGTGTTGGGGTTAACCCTTGTAAGTGACTTTATGTGCATTCTTATACAATGTTGTCAGATCTGTTAGAGCTTGAAGCGTGTGTTGAGGATGGCTCTTAGCATCTACCACAAGGGTAGGCAATCCTGGTCCTCGAGTGCTGCTGTCCTAAATGTTTTACTTGCTTACCCGCACCATTACAACTGATTCAAAGACTGAATTACCTCTTCAAATTTCAGCAATCACCATTCATTCAAATCAGGTGTGTTGGAGCAGAGGAACAAGTAAAACATGCAGGATAGCAGCACTCGATTGCCTACCACTGATCTAGCACATCGATTAGCTCAGTGTCTGTAAAAGTCATTGCTAATTTTGTGTTTGCTATGGTCGATCGGCTGTGGAAACCCTCTTGAATTGGGTTGACTCCAAAAGTTAATGCATTATGGATGTACACCCAATGATTACTTTCTACAAGTGTCATTAAAATTCTTTCAGTCTTTCAAAACATAGTGTTGCTACCATAACAAATACCCACACTGTTTCTCTATCCTCATGGGGACTTTCTTTAGCTTAATCCAGACCTTTACCCTAAACTTAACCACCTCCAGTGCATACCTAAACCTAGCCTAAACTCAATTCACACCTTAGTCCTAAACTTAACCTCCCACCCAAAAACAGCATCCATACCCGTGGGGAGCACTCTGTCCCCACAAAGTGGTGTGTCTCTAAAAAATGGTTCCCATGAGGCAGAATATACAAAACCACACAAACACTTGCAAAACCAGAGGCAAAACATTATCACCCTTTTGCCATCTATCAACACATGATAGATGATTCATGATTCACTTCAATCCAGCTGATTCCAATTTAGGAAGATCATAAGGGGCAGGGAGTAGCTTCTAAAGAAAAGGTTGTTTCAACAACAACTTTGTCTCCACATGTGTTTGTGTGAACACGAGTTCACATGCTGAACAGAGCATGGGCCTTTCTGCTTGTTTTGCACATTGCAGCATCCTTGAACTTACCCTGCAGCCCACCACCGGCTAACCTCGATTCATCTGTCTAGTTATGTAAGTGTGTGTCCCAGTCAGGCCGGCAGACACCCTACAGTCCCCACAATGCTTTCCCAGACAGACAGTGTCCTGAGCAGCCCTCATTGCCTGCACAGCACAGACAGCACACAATAAGGTGACCTTGTGAGAGGCCGTGTCAGGATAAAGAGGGTGTTTTAGGTAAAAGCTTGCCCACCTGAACTGTTTAAAAGGGCCTAAGAAAAAAATGAAACTACAATAGTGAAACAGCAAAAGACAACAAAACATGAAAGTAGATTTTTTTGAAGTAATTCATGTTTGCTGCCTTGCTTTCTAAAATTATAAACAAAGATGCTGTGCATTGTTACATTAGCCCTGTGGTGTACAGCAACACAGCAAAGACAACACACCACACAAACAGATTTTATTTACGAACGTTCAGATGTCAGACAGGAAATCTCACAAAACTTCTCGAGGTCAAACATGAGTTTAGAGTAAATAAACATGACAGACAAAGAAGAGAAATGGTGATAGTTTGGGGAAACATTTTAACAGAAAAAAAAGACCCCAACATCCACTGGACTTTCTGGTGCACCATGAAAGTTGTTTTGTTTTCTGTATTTTGGATTCCCCTCCATGTTTCCATCACCTCACTTTCTGATTGGCTACACGTCACATTCAACAGGCTGTGAGCTCGTTTGTCCTCAGGGAACATCACACACACACTGGGATATCAGGTTAAGACAATCCAACATGTTGAATATCCCCAATTTGAGACCGGAGTGGTCCTGACGTCCTCCTTAGACAACTAGATCACTCTTAACACACCACACACGAAAGAAATTTCTCATAAGACTATCATTAGAGCCATCGCAATAATCTAAGTGTCCTTAATTTTGTCAAAAGGGAAAGATTGGGCCAAAAATCATCAATTATCTTGTTGTGTGAATAAAGCATGAACAACTTCCAGGAGAAAAAACATATGCGTCATTTCCTGATACCTGGTAGTAACTACATCTCAGAAAAAGAAGCAATCTGCTGCATTGCTAACTTTACAAGAGGTCAGACATGTCA